AATAACAGTATTTTTCACCAGTACAACATTACCCATCACTTAGCAAAGGAGGGAGGTGGCATCATAAGTGACACAAGGGCCAGTGAGGCAGAGCTGTTGAATTCCAGCCTTTGATGCAACGACACCACCATCACCACCTTGAGTTCAGTTTAGTGGAGAAAATGGTACCTGTGGGAAGTGCTTCTAAGGTGATCTGACACAATGCAGACCTGGTTCTCCCGAACAGATCCTGGTTAACAGCCCTCAGGTGGAGAGTTGAAAGGTGGGAGGGAGTTGAGTGACAAGAACATGTCTATAGTTGCAGGATGAAAGATGCATTTAATAACAAATTATATAATTGTAGAGCTAGTAGAGACACGAAGACAATCTAATTTAGTTCTCAGCACCAAAACAAGATCCTTTAAGTATCAAATGCATTAAAGGTCTATTCTCAAAGGGCAGAATTTTATTAGATATCTCATCACAATATCTCAGGGCAGTTTGCAATATAAAAATACAAGGCGAAAGCACAAATAAATAGCTAAAGGGGGAAAAAAACACAAAAGAAAATAACCCCACCTCCCACAATCACATTTGCAAGGCTGTAGAATATTAATCAGCCAAAGGTCTGGTTGAAGAGGAACCCCCTATAATGAAGGCAGCAGGCAAACCTCCCTGGGGAGAGCATTCCACAAATGGGGAGCCACTGCAGAGAAGGCCCCGTCTTCACCATGTTTATCCAGAAGTAAGCCCCACTGAGTTCAATGGGAGCTTCCTCCCAAGCAACTGTGCATAGGATTTCAGCATTTATTAAACAAATCTAGGTGGTTCACGTTAATGATCCTTGTCATACCCTATAAGAAAGTGAAAGCAGAGAGAGTGTTTGTAAGTAGGAGTTTGGCTCTTCAAGGCTGGAGGTCACTCCATTCTGTACCCCCTCCACATTTTCGCATATTTCCCCCAAACAGTCAATCTGCATTCTGTGGCCACTGAGCAATTCAGTCCTCACAGGGCTGTTTTGGAAGTTCTTCCCCTTACGGTTTCTGTAGTGAAGGTTGTTTGCTTGTTTGCACTGTTGCAAATCCTGGGCTTTCGCCAAGTCAGCTGATACCTACTTCTTGTGTGAAGATGATGCCAGCTTGGCTACATAAGCAACAGTGCTCACACCTGTGAAATGCGGACTTCTCCCTGCCCTCCCCTTCAGTTGATGGGGAGGGGATAAAGAGCCCTATGCTTAGTGCTTCTGAAAGATGGCCAGACCATTGGATCATCCTGTTCTGCGTAGACTTAACTCCAGGGTCTCACCTGAAGGTCCATTGCCCAGTCCTGTTAGCTGATATCTTGTTAAGTGAAGATCAGGCCGTCTTTACCTGGGGGTGCAAGGGGTGTGGTGCAGCTGGGCGCCAAACTCTGGGGGGCGCCAAATGCATACGGGCCCCTCTTGATTGGCGGCAGTGAAAAGCAATGGAGCAGAAGTCCCCGCCCCCTCCATCATCACTCTGTTACTCTGTAGCATCAAACAAAAGCAGTTTTTTCCGCTGCATCGTCGTTACAGGTGAGCTATTCCCCCCCCCCAAAAAAAAGTCAACAACTTTGGCTTCCCCCCTCCCAAAAAAAGCTCAACAACCTCTCCCTGGTGCACCACAACTTTGAGTTTAGCCCTGGTGGAGATGCTGGAGAACTCACCCAAAGATCTCACCTGCTTTCCATATCATGGAGCTATGGTCCCCACACCGACTCACTTGTCAATTCGGAGAGCCCACAAGTAAAGGAGCAGAGCTGTTATGCAAGAAGACCCTGAAACAGCTGGAGAGAGAGGCTGGGAAGAAGTGGCCTTCCCAGATGTTGTCGGACTACAACTCCCATCAGCTCTGACCATTGGCCATGCTGGCTGGAGCTGATGAGAGTTCAACTTGTGGAGAACCAAAGACAATCTTTGATCATATAAAGACATTCTCTGGTGCTTGGATGGCAGGAAGAAACTCCAAGTCTTAAGCCAAGGGGAACCACCACATTTTCTTCTGCATAGGCTGCTATTTGGGGAGCAGATTAACATCTCAAAACCCTGCACTAGTCTTGAATTTATGCAGCCCAGTTTTAAGGTTAATGAAGTTCTTTGTTCCCACAGCTTTTTTGTGAAAAAGCAAACTCATGTGGCAGATGAAAATCTGACCAAAAAGAAATTAATTGACATCTCCAAAGCGGCAGAGATAGAATCTCTGGGAACGGCTGAGCTTATCAGGTGTCCTGTGGGCATGTGGGTTCAGTAGTGCCCTGACAACTTATGCCAAGGAATTTATCTGGGCATCTGATGCTTGGAGGTGGCTTGGCTCACAGTGCTTCACCAGGGCTCTGGCCTCTCTCAGAGGGCGTGGCATGCCACACTGGTGTGGCAGGAGAGGATGGCAAGCATGGCAGGAAGACTCCAGGACAACAAACATTTAAACATTTCAGTGTGGCAAAAGTACAGTACCAAACTTTTATTATTTGCAGAACATGGATCAGTATCTTTTCCAAATGAGAGCAAGAACATCAAGCGATACTAAGGACAATTCTAGAATCACCGCTTTGCAATATATTTCTTATCAATAAGAAATTTGGTGTGGCATGAGCAAATTTTTAATCTGAAAGTGCGGCCCACAGAAAAAGAAAAACTTTGAGAACTACTGAGCTTTCCTTTCGGGAATTATAGGGACAGAACTGCCCAAACTGTATAGAAATTTATTCGTGTATGCGACTGCAGCGGCAAGAATGTTATTTGCCCAAAAATGGAAAGAAGAAGAAGTCCCGACGAAAGAAGAATGGATACAAAAACTTACGGAATATGCAGAGAAGGCGAAACTTACTGGAAAAATAAGAAATCAAGATAACAAACTCTTTATAAAAGAATGGAAATGGTTTGTTGAATATTTACAGACAAACTGTAAACAGATAATAACGTTGGCAGGATTATTGTAATAACTTGCAATTTTATAAGAGTAGATGAATAAATTAAATAAAATTTAAATAAATTAAATAAATTTAAAGTAGATGAATAAATGATTAAGTTAATTTGGAATATGCAGAATATATATATATATATATATATATGCAGGTTTTGGTGTCCTCGGGTGTCTTCCCGTGTAAAAGTTGGGGTGTCTAGGCGACGTTTCGACGAGGTCTCACTCGTCATCTTCAGGCTGGTGCTTTCGGCTTCTTGTTACTGGAAAGCAAATATATATATATTTACGAAAGCAAATATATATATATTTGCTTTCGTAGATTTTCACGGGTACAGGAATGCAGGTTTTGGTGTCCTCGGGTGTCTTCCCGTGTAAAAGTTGGGGTGTCTAGGCGACGTTTCGACGTCGAAACGTCGCCTAGACACCCCAACTTTTACACGGGAAGACACCCGAGGACACCAAAACCTGCATATATATATATATATATATATATATATATATATATATATGGAACCGCATAAAGAAGGGGAAGGAAGTCAAGTTTTGAAATGTTAAAATGATTGTAAAGTTATTGAAATGTATAAAATTGCAAATCATAAATAAAAATTAAAATAATAACTACTGAGCTAGTGTCACAGTGCTGATTCCATCCATTTGCTGTAACCTCCTTACCAATCCACCCCCAGTTCCATAATCTCCTTCCTCCTACTGCTGGTCTACTACAGCTACCTCCAAACACTACCTTCCCCCTCCATTCACCTACGGTCTCCTCTGCTTTCCTGTTCCCAAGCTGTCCTGCAGTTCCTGTTCCTGCAAGAGAGGATCCTGAGATCTCTTAATCCACCAGACATCAACATTCCCAGGCCCTTTCGCTAGAGGGCTGTTGCACGTTTACTCAGCGTGAAAGCTGCAGGTCTTTTTTTAGCCCAGTTTTCGCAGCATAACTAACTAACTAGGGCGAGGTGGTACAAAGGAGGCACCACCTGCACCAAAGCACGAAAATGGGCCTCCAAAGGTCAGGTTGTATGTTTACAGTTATTAAAATCACGTCAAATTATGTCACCTCTTCATTTCGTTTTGGAACAATTACCTAGACATGTTTTCAAGGTGGCAGATGAGAAGCCAGATATGAGCTCGCTGCAGCTCCTTGGGAGGTTTGAAGAGGGAAAGCAGCCCAGGCATCACACGTGGGATGCAAATTCAGCTGCGCCTCTCAGCCCTGTCGTGCAGCCTTCAAGGTTTAAAATTAAAAATCACCCATTCGCTCATACATTTCCTCCTTTTCCCTGGACGTTCACATGTAGGCCAGGAGCTAAAGTTGGAAGGGAAGTCAGGTGAGCAAGGTGCTGACCTCACATTCACCTTTGGCCACTCTCCGTGGGGCCACCAAGTCTGGGGGCATCCTCTTCTGAGTTCCCTGTGAAGCAGCATGAGGAGGCATCTCTCTCTGGGGTGGAGGGGGCTGCTACCTGGAGGACTCCCAAGAAGAGGGGAGAGAAGAACACGCCACAAGGGAGGGTGTTCAGAAAGGGGTGAGGGGCTCTGCCAGCAAGGGGTGACTATGACTGCAATCATGGATCAGGAATTCTAACAAAAACTGGGCTTCTGAGGCTCATAGGGGAGCTGCAGAAAGAATGTAGTTGGTTCAGGGAGCTGTGGACTCAGAAAGGTTGAACACTTCTGATCTAATGTATGCGCTGCCTGCCATGCCATAGGGAAACAGAAGGCAAAGATTTCTAATGGAGACCAGCAGCCCCATATGGCTCATGAACCAGGAGAGAACCAGAGAGAGAAGCATCTGCCTCAGGGCTGCAGCTTATTTTTGCATCAGAAAGGCTCTTTTGATCCCTAGCTGGCTCTTGTCTGTGATGTCTTACAAATCAATGACAGTCATACCTCAGGTTACAGGCGCTTCAGGTTGCGTTTTTTTCGGGTTACGGACGCGCTGAAACCCGGAAGTACCGGAATGGGTTACTTCCGGGTTTCGACGGTCGTGCATGTGCAGAAGCGCTATATTGCACTTTGCACATGCGCAGAAGCGCCGAATCACAACCGGCGCGTGCGCAGATGCAGCGCTGCAGGTTAAGAACTTGCCTCCCGCACAGATCACGTTCGCAACCCGAGTGTCCACTGTAGTTAATGCAGCTCCCCTGCAAATAGCTCCAACAGAGTACAGTCGCATTTATCAAACCCTCCTTTCCAGTCTATGCAGATCCCCTTAGAGCAACAATTATTAAACCACTCCAGGGCCTTTCAGAGTTAATGATTTCCCCTCTTTGCCCGGTTTGGCTTTCACCATATCTTGAAGCACACATTTTCCAGGCTTCATAAACCCATGGTAAAAATGGTCAAAAAGTCAAGCTCTTCCCCACTTCCAAGGCTACATACCTTGAAATGCCCTTGGCTGGCATTACAGGTCTTCTTACTTCTAATTTGCTGTTGGTTCCAGGTATTTTACTTGTTTGCAGGACATTGGTAGACAGGCCAGGAAGATTTGGTGGCTGGGAGTTGGTCCCTACCGTTAGGCAGAGTGAAGCAGCTGACTCAGGCAGCAGACAAGGTGTTGGAGGACAGGTCTCTGTGTGCACCAGGTTATCAGTCAGGTGATCCCTAAGATGCTCTGCTGCCCTCAGGTGTGGCGGAAGATGCTGTTCTTTCACTAGTGTGTAAGTAAGATTCAGCTGCCAAGAAGACTTGGTTTCACTATGTAGAATTGAGGCATCACCTTGCAAGCAGCAAAATTTCTTGGGCCACCCCTGGTTCAGAGACTGTGAACTGGGAAGACAAATTGCCTGGAAGACCAAAGAGGCATTAAGGGTGGGGTGGTATTTCACAGCCTTGTATTTCATACTGTGCCTTGTTAAATCTCAGTTTATCAACAACAAGCTGTTTAGCTGTAGAGGAGAGAAGCCAGTCTGAATGAGCTGTCGTTCAGTTTTATAGAAGTGGTTTTAGGCATCATTGTGATAGACAGTAAGTTGACACTGCTATAGTTTGTATAAATTGGCTACAGGTGTCCAGGCAGTGTATTTGGTCCTGGGAAGGAACATAGGTAAGAAGAAGAGCTTTGCATGCAGAAGATCCATGGTTCAAGGCACAAGAGAGATTGGGTGCTGGTGAAAGATCCTGGAGAGCCTCTGCCAATCAGAGCAGATAATACGAGCCTAGATAAATGAACAGGCTGACTCCCTGTGATTCTAGTATTATTCCACTCCATCCAATGTTTCACAGCCAGAGAGACATGCTTGTAGCACCAGAATTCCCATGCCTACCGCTATTGAGCAAGCCCACCACCACTAAAACACCTTGTACAAATAGCGATAAGCTCATGCTAAGTTGCCTCCATCCATTTTTTTTTATCCTTTAGCATTCAACATAATATAGAAACGGGGCTATTGTTTCACAGCATCACCCAAAACTCAGGGTTTTTCAATTGACGTGCAGTCTGCATGGCAACCGCTAAGGAATCCAGCAGCATTCAGGTTAGGCGTGCAAATTGCCCTGCTGTACAAGGTGACCCAGGAAGAAAAATGGTCACTGGCGAGACCGTGTTTGTCTACAGAATTAGGCCACTGCCAGTAGCTGTACAAATATTTCCTCCTTGAAGTGAGCAACGCAGCCAGGTATTCCTCCTGCTGGGCTGTTTGCCATCCGTTCACTCAGGTCACAAGATTACATCATTACGTTGCTCTAATATTTCAAAGCAGTGGAAGGTTGAAAATGGAATCCAGTTTGCCAGAAGGGATGTTTATGTTTAAAGGGGAGACTAGTTTGGTCTATCTCTCTTAGACATTCTTGTGAAAAAGGAGTCTTTATGCAACACAGAACAACTCCGTGTCTGAATGGGTCGACACCTGAGAGCCTTAGTCAGATGGCTGCTCTTCTTTACTTGGGAAGCTATTTTGTCCTCGTCATCAAAAGTTGTTGCTGAGTCATCGTGGACTCAAACCAAACCAGAGTTTTCTTCCTTTGGCATGTGATGAGCTGTGTGGTCTTTGCTTTGAGGAATGCTGGGGAGTTATAAAGTTCTGGAAAAGAAAGGCGGAAAACCACTGGAAAAAGGTGTTTGGAGTATCAGCAAGACTCAAACTGTTTCATTCACATTCACTGCTGATGATGTTCCAAGGGGGTGGGAAAACACATTTGTAACTGGAAAACCAGTGATGAAATACTAAGCATAAACAATGAGTATTGGAGTCCAGATAACTCTATAACTTATTGACTAGAACTGCTTCCCTGCATGCCCTCCAACAATTCTTTGATGAAAATGGGGATGTCCTATTCCATTATTATTATTATTATTATTATTATTATTATTATTATTATTATTTTCCACCCATCTGACTGGGTTGGCACTCTAGGTGGCTTCCAACATATATAAAAGCATAATAAAACATTTTAAAACTTCCCTATAAAGGACTGCCTTCAGATGCCTCCTAAAGGTTGTATAGTTACTTATCTCCTTGGCTCAGAAGTCGCATAACTCCATATCCTCCAACATTTCTCTGACGAAAATAGGGATGTCCTAAGGAAAAGTGGGACATTCCGGGATCAAATCAGAACCCAGAACAACTTCTGTAAATCCGGGACTGTCCCTGGAGAATAGGGACACTTGGAGGGTCTCTCCCTCTTATGTTGCAGATCCCAGAACCAAGCGGACAGGTCCAGTCAAGAATATAATAGCCCTGCTGGAACATACATACATACATACATACATACATACATACATAATTTTATTTTTATGCAACCTTTCCATAGTTCAAACCATACTCAAGGCTGCTTACAACATTCACCAAGCACATGCATGCATGACCACACACATGCAACACATGTATCCAGTCTCTCAGCCTACACCCCCACCTCAGTTAGGCTCACGGGAAACAGAGGGTTAACTTTTCCTTCCCCAGATGCAGCCTGCTGCTCAAATATCTCCCCTCCCCAACCGTACTGCAATTAGACTTTGGAGGGAGAACCTCCTCAACCTAACTGCTTCATTGATATGGAGGGGGAATAGTGAAGTGGGGAGGCAATATTTTGGGTGGGAAAGCCCCACAGGCCACTTCCTCACCATTGCACTGCAGTGTGGAAGATGTGAGAGATTGCAGTAAACTGCAGCTAGCAAGCATAGGGCTAGTTAGTGCATGAAGGTATAAAGAACCACAGAGTTGTACAGTATTGCTAGATGGACTCAGCTGAGTCATGTCCCCTCTCCTCCAGAGATGGAAGAAGCAAAACCTTTCCTCTTCCTTTCTCTTTCTCTCTGCATCATGTAGGACATGCCTGTGCCTGCTCCCAAACTAAGACCTCATAAGCTACTTTGCTGTACAGTGGTGCCTCGCAAGACGAAATTAATTCGTTCTGCGAGTTTTGTTGTCTTGTGATTTTTTTCGTCTTGCGAAGCACGGTGTCGGAAAAGTTTCGGAAAAGCTTCAAAAATCACCAAAGTCTTCAAAAACCTCAAAAAAGGCTACCACACCGCGTGCTATGAGTTGCTCCTCGAAGTCAAGTCGCAACTGTATTAACGGTGTTAAGAAAAAGGAAACAAACTTGCAAGACATTTCCGTCTTGCGAAGCAAGCCCATAGGGAAAATCGTCTTGCGAAGCAGCTCAAAAAACAAAAACCCCTTTCGTCTAGCGAGTTTTTTGTCTTGAAAGGCATTCATCTTGCGAGGTACCACTGTATTCTCTACCCTAGACTATTTTGCCTGTATCATCCTTGCTGCTGCATGGAACGATGCATGGCTGAAATCTGGAATCAGTAAGTAAAGCATTTTAAACTTACTTAACAGTGTAAGTAGAAAGAGGCCAGTTGCTGTGTGCAGATGAACAGAACAAAAAGATTTAACAGCCTGTATTCCTAATGCTACACTACTGTTCAACTCTGATACTAGGGCTCTGTGTGTGCTAGCCCCACAATTTTAATCCAGACACCCAGATGATGCTTTTGTTGTTCACCCACATACGTGGGTCCACAGGGATTCTTAGATTTAATTCCCCACAGAAGGAACCACACAAAAGGCAAGTCCCCACCCCCCTGCCCCAAATGCAAGAGTTTATGGAAGGCCCATCTCCCATGCCCCAATCTTCAGTAGCAAGCTGTGAGGAAGAAATCCGGTGTGGATGCAATCTCAGCACCTCTTGGGAAAGTAACCATGGTTTAGTTGCCAACGTCAAGGAGGAAACACAGGGCTGGGAAGCACCCGCAAGATCCCCTTTGAAAGACTCAGTAAAACCCAAATCCACTGCAAAAACTAATAAATTTCTGTAGCTAGAAAACCTTGGAACCACTTAGTGAGGGAAAGTGCTTCCAAGCTTTAGGCCACATCAGAAAATCCTGGACACTTTGCATTCTGGTACTACAAACTTCCTTTGTAAAATGCATTTTTTTCATACCATAGGATGGGGCTGACTTCTAAAAAGCAATTTTACTTTTTTAAAGAATGCCTGTTTGCTAGCAGTTCCCCACCACCACCACTTCACACACACACACACACACAACTTAATAAGCTCCTGGAATGGCAATGTAGCCAAGAATGCTTCGTGCTCTAATTGGTTGTTAGGAGGCTGGAGAGAGAGGGAGAGGGAGAGAATTATTGCTGTTATTAACCAAAGCATGCACAGGACAAGAAAATCATATAAATATAGAATTCCAACACAAGGGAAACTAAAGATCTCAAGCTGTTTTCCGAAAAGAACAATTTCTGAAGATTTCTTATAAGCTACCCCAAAAAATGTAGTCAGAAACAGAAAAAAACCAGAGCAAGTTTGAGAAAACTTCTGCCCCCATCCTCCTCTCTTCATCCTGTTTAAAGTGGGAGGTGTTATTTTAAAAAAAATGTTTGGACTAAGAACCCAATTGTTCAGCCCAAAGTCTTGCCTTGTCATATATTTTCTGTGGACCTCAGTTAATAATGTTTATTAATTTCAGCAGGCATACTCTGAGTATGGCTAGGGTTGGATAAAACCCTAGGTTTAGATCTTCAAGCACAGAACCAAAACCAAAGCTGGGATCCAGGTAACCCACAGGGTTTTTAGACGTGCCCTGTTCAGGCAGCATCCCCCAGGGTGAATGGCATGCTGCCTTCGAAAGGAGATTGTGGTAAGGCATATGTGATTCAAGGTGGACCAGCATTTCTTTGCCCTGTTGCAAAGACCTTTGGTGAGTCTATGCTGCCATTTGGATCCAGACCATAGTTCACAAAAAGTCATGAGATTCGTTCGCTCCCTATTATTGAGCATTTGTGTGCAGGGAGGCTATGGGACATCACATCAAGCTGCTGTTATCCCACACTTTTTCCATCACTTGTCTTGATGTAGTGCAAATAGGGTTTGTTGTACAACAGCACCAAATCCAATTTAATTGTGCAACCTGGATTTGTCGGCAGGTGCTTAACTTCAACTGCATCTGAAAGATCAGGTGAAAACTGGATGCCCAAAATTAATGTAGAGCTCCTGTTGGCTCTATGCATCAGCTGTGCACAAGGCTGGACAAATGCATGAAAAGGTGTCGTGTTGCATTCTAAAAGTAAGAGAGATCCATCAATACAAATGCTCTATATGTAACATTTCCATATATAGCTGGGTAATTACCATATTTCACTTTCCACACATATGTTGTTGTTGCTGCTGTTTAGTCGTTTAGTCGTGTCTGACTCTTCGTGACCCCATGGACCAGAGCACACCAGGCACTCCTGTCTTCCGCTGCCTCCCGCAGTTTGGTCAAACTCATGCTGGTAGCTTCGAGAACACTGTCCAACCATCTCGTCCTCTGTCGTCCCCTTCTCCTTGTGCCCTCCATCTTTCCCAACATCAGGGTCTTTTCCAGGGAGTCTTCTCTTCTCATGAGGTGGCCAAAGTATTGGAGTCTCAGCTTCAGGATCTGTCCTTCCAGAGCACTCAGGGCTGATTTCCTTAAGAATGGAGAGGTTTGATCTTCTTGCAGTCCATGGGACTCTCAAGAGTCTCCTCCAGCACCAGAAGTCAAAAGCATCAATTCTTTGGTGATCAGCCTTCTTTATGGTCCAGCTCTCACTTCCATACATCACTACTGGGAAAACCATAGCTTTAACTATACGGACCTTTGTTGGCAAGGTGATGTCTCTGCTTTTTAAGATGCTGTCAAGGTTTGTCATTGCTTTCCTCCCAAGAAGCAGGCGTCTTTTAATTTCGTGGCTGCTGTCACCACGTATGTGGGCAAACCTTTTACCACTTCTTTGGTGGGGCTCTCAAGGGCCATGTGAAATTGCTTTGGGGGCCAAGACCACCACTTCTACTCCTTTGGACAATGGTGAAGATGTGGGTTTATTATTTGAGTGCTGTAATTGTGGAAACCCTTCACTCTGCAGTTTAGAAACTCAGCAGGAGTCTTTGAAGTTTTTAAATTAAAACACTGAACGCAAAAAGGTTTCTGCCACTCACCTACTCCCATTTGGATATTTTCTTTCAACAACAAAAAAAGGGCAAAAAAAGAGCCAGTACTTCTTTCTACAGGTTTTCACAAGGAAGATTCTACCCTAATTAACTACCCTAATCTTCAGAGATTGCATTTTCCTTTGAGATTTAAAAGCTAGCAGGGGGTTGTGTCTGGGCAGAAAGGAGATTATTAAAACTTTAATAATGTGAGCCTTTGAACCTTCCCAAATTCTTTGCAGTTTTTCTCACATCTCTAACCCAGATGTCTGCATTTTATAAAAGAGAGAGAGAGAGAGAGAGAGGAAACCCTGTGCCAGCAACATGAAACTATTTGTTTACACTTTTTAGATCTTTCAATGAACAGCCTGTTTTAACAGTGATAGGAAACAGAATGTCTGTAGTACAGGAGGAACTTGACAAGGCTAAGATGGGGCAAAGGGGTGGGGAGCAGAGAGACTATCCCAGTAATATTTCACAAAAAGCAAACCTGAAACTCCTGGGAAATATGGAAAATGAGAACTGATACTTTTCATTTGATGATCTCCTTCAAGGATGGGGAAGCTGTGGTCCTCCAAATCTTGCTGGACTCCAGCTCCTATCCACCGCCTCCTTCCAGACAGAATGGCCAATGACCAGGGATGATGGGAGATGTAGTCCCACAATATCTGGCAGGCCACACGTTCCCCATTGCTGTCTTACGACATGCACTCCCTGGCACTTGTGACTGGGCGCATCCACAGCAGCACTCCACTCTCTCTCAATTGCTGCACAGAGCATTGCTCTGACCTATGTTCTGCCATGCATAGTGGTGTTGCCTTGGCATGACTATGTCTATGGGCAGTTGGTTGTTCCAGGGATCTGGACTATGATGCACACTCACCTGGCAGTGTGATACACACAGCCTTTCTTCATCGTTGCCTCAGTCTAGACTAGAGTTGGCAGGTGAGGAGCATCCCAGATCCTGAGATTTCAGGGCCTGGGGGCAGAGCCTGGGGGTGTCATGAGGGTGGGCCCTGATGAGTCTTCCTCTGTGCTCCCTCTCATCACTGAGCCCTGGTGACGGAGGTTAATTGGGAGAGGGGAGGGGATGGGGAGGTGGGCAGATGACTCACAAATATCCCTGAGAATCTATATACTACTTCAAAGCTTGATTAAAGCTTGCAAGCTGCACACAGGGTCTTCTTAATAGTAATAAAAAATTAAAGGTGCTCTCACCCACCTGGAGCTTCAAGTCCTCCCATCACCACCTGGAGGGAGCCAGCAAAAACTAGAGGCTTCCGATTAGCCCTGGAGGTTTGGCAGCTCACGTCTAGACGGTAGCTGAAAGGAGAGCTGGACAGGACCAATGTTAAATATGGACATTGTTCTACCAATGCACTTGCTTCTGCACCACCGGATCTGCTCCATCTGCACATTGGTAACTAAAAGGTAAAGACCCAGTTGTTTGAGGACCCCAGAAGGTCCTGTGCAGACGTGGCCTGAATTCCCTACGGCTTGCAGAAGGAGGAAATGTAAAATACCGTGGTTTTTGCTCTATAAGACTCACTTTTTCCTCCTAAAAAGTAAGGGGAAATGTGTGTGCGTCTTATGGAGCAAATGCAGGCTGCGCAGCTATCACAGAAGCCAGAACAGCAAGAGGGATCGCTGCTTTCACTGCGCAGCGATCCCTCTTGCTGCTCTGGCTTCTGAGATTCAGAATATTTTTTTTTTCTTGTTTTCCTCCTCCATAAACTAGGTGCGTCTTGTGGTCTGGTGCGTCTTATAGAGCGAAAAATACGGTAATATAAAAGCTCTCCCGTGTTTGTATGTCAGGAAATGCAAACAGCGCTGGACAAGTTTTTAAGCCAGGAAGGGCTTGAAGAGTCTCCCCCAGCCCCACCCTAAGAGGCTAACATGGGAAAGCCTAGAGTGGGGGCAAGAAAGTGTGGCCACTCCAAGTCCTTGAAATATCTGAACATGTCGGATGTGTGGGTGCATGTTCAGACTTGCAGGATTGGGGGGGGGGGGGGCTGCAGCGGTTGGCTTGGCAGAAGGCCCAGTAGGTGGAATTTATGCCTCATCAGTTTGTGAGGGGAAACTAAATGCCATTGTGAGCAACCAGGAGGCAGATCTGCCGTAGCAGTGAACTTGGCAGAACAACCAAGAGATTTAAAATGCTGGCGCAGGAGTGTAATTACAGGGTAGGGTTACCACCCATTCATAATTTTTATGCACTGTTCATATTTTGGGAACTCAGCCCATGGTAAGTAGGAAACTTCGTTGCAGTCAGAATATATATATATATATATATATATATATATATATAGCAGAATTGTGTGTCTGAGGCAGTCCTCCTTCAGACAGCTGAAAGTGGCTTGAGACAGGTTCTGCTTCCCATGGCACAAAGAGGTATATCTTTTAATCCACCACTGTCCCTAGGCAAACAGGCCCAGCGGGTTTCTAAAAACAATATCTGGAGTGCCAGTTTTCCTAGATACAACCAGCAGGGTGAGCAGAACCTCCCTGACCCTCTTTCAAACTGCCTGCAGCCAGGGCTGTCTCAAGACATTTTGCCACCTGAGGCAAAGGCCCCATAGACATGCTCAGTTGTGCAGGCACACTGTGCCACATGGGCAGTTGAATCTCCTCCTGCAGCTGAGAGCAGCAGGTTATTTACCGTATATCACTGCACAATAGTTGCCACCGCATAATGGTTGTACCCCCCCCCCCTTCTCAGACCCTAAAATCAGTCTCAAAGCACTGAACACATCATAGTCACAGGGGTAATTCTGAGGCAAGCTGGGGGTCAGTATGGGGGCCATTGCCACAGCTGCCGCCACCTTGGGTTCGCAGCCCAAGACATCCCAACCGAGAAGGGGAAGCAGAGGGCAAGCGACCACCTCTGCCGCCCGTCCGTGACACCATCCTCCACCCCGTAATTCACCACATCGTGGTCGCAACCCCCTTCTTTAAAAAGAAAAATCAGCATGAAAATGTGGCCGTTAAGCTGTGAAATACGGTATTTGTTGTGTTTATGTCCCACCTTTCCCTACAAGGAGTTCAAGGGGGCGTACTTGGTTCTCCTCCTCTCCATTTTTACCTTCACAACAACCCTCTGAGGTGGGTTAGGCTGAGAGGCAGGGACTAGCCCAAGGTCACGCAGCGAGCTTCAACTCTAGCCACAACACTTTTTTTTTTGCCCCGATGCTTATCCTGCGAATACCCGCTCTTTACCACAGAATCAGAACATACAGTGGTACCTCAGGTTCCAGACGCTTCAGGTTACAGATGCTTCAGGTTACAGACTCCGCTAACCCAGAAATAGTACCTCAGGTTAAGAACTTTGCTTCAGGATGAGAACAGAAATCGTGCTCCAGCAGTGCGGCGGCAGCGGGAGGCCCCATTAGCTAAAGTGGTGCTTCAGGTTAAGAACAGTTTCAGGTTAAGAATGGACCTCCAGAACGAATTAAGTTTTTAACCCGAGGTACCACTGTACAGCAATTTGAGTTTTCTGCAGATTCTCATTTGCTCTGATTCAGTAGTAAAGAGTGAGTTTTCACAGAGAAAGCACCAGGGCAAAAAAAAAATTTTTTTTTAAATGCATGGACACAGTGCTTGAAAGCATAGCCTAGAAACGCAGCATAAAAGGAAGTCTGGAACTCAGCTGGGAGGAAGAGGGCAAAACTAGAACTATTTTGTTCTGCCTGCCATTGCCTCTGACTCCCCCTACTGTTGGCCTCCCTGCCTTCCACCCTATCAGCTCCATTGGTCACGAACCACCACTGGCAACTGCTCTCCTGTGATCAGTGAGTTGCCATCACCTTCTGAGTGCAGGAAGGAGGAGAGAGATGTTCTCTGTACCAACAGCTGGCCGAGCGAAATAGTCAACCTGCCCATGGACTATTTCAGAGAAGTCCCCTTTCCGGAAAAAGCAGCAAAAGCTCACCTCAAGCCAATAGAGACTCCAGTTCCTCATGGCAATTGCTGGAGAAAGAAATGAGTGTTGTGGCATTTTCCAACTCATATCATCTTCTACAGCTGCAGTTAACCCAGATCTGCTCCAGGACCAGCCAGAGAAGACAAGATGGCTGGGGTAACTTGACCCAGGTCACTGCTGTGACTGTTCCAAGCCGCTGGCTAAAAGTCTTCTTTGTTGTCCATACTTAATGCCCCCGAATGTCAAAGTTTCCCCTTCACCGTCTTGTGGACTTTGAGCAGGCTATACAGACCAGACGTCCTTTCCATGTTAACAAATCGCTGACAAGGTTCAGACTGGGCTTAACATTGCACTCCATTCATAATACTTCATTCAAAGGTAAGGAATTAGGCATGGGAAACGCCGACACCGCTCCAAGATTTACTTAACTTTAATCAGACTAAGGTTTGAGCCTCTCCTTGTGGATTTAGGATCCTGTGAGCTCTGCAGCTCATAAGAGGGCGGCTTTATACGTAGAATCTTTTCCAAAGCAGCTGCGGTAATTACCTCTACAGTACAGGAGGAATCCTAGCTATAAACTCTCTGGCAAGGATGCCAGCATATTTCTCCAGGAGGACTTCAGAGTGTTTCTTTCAGAAGTTAACCTTATTAAATCATTCTTAAGCTGTCCCCAAATAAAGAACGAACCTTTAGACTGACCCTTGCTTTCAAATGTTTGACTTTTCCTGTAAATGTCTACAGCAGCCCTCTGGAGCCTGTAAGTCTCGCAAAGCCGATTTGGCAAAACAATAGTGAAATGTTCTCAGCCATAACATGGAGAGGATGATAAAAAAGACTAACAGGCAGTAGAGCCAAGATGTGCTGCGAGATGCTGCTGAGTTACCTTGTAGTCAGATGTTGGATCAAGAACTTACAGATCCTTCTCACATTGTTTTCTCCCAGCCGCCCTGCCCCAAGTACAGTGCTCTGGCTGTGCTGAAGTGAAGATCTTTGTGACTCCTCACAGCAGATGCAACTGCAAAGACACAAGTTCAAGTGCTCAGGAATGACGACTGGCTCAGCATACCAACAGTAAGCATCTGGTAGCAAGAAAACAGCGGCTGGACTTTGGACTTCCACAGCAAGTGGCCATGTGCCCCCTGTTTTCATCTAATTGTCTATGTAAAGGGGGGAGGCTGCAACAATGGGTTTTCTCTTATTTGTCCTAAACCTGCTTGTCCAAATTCATAATGCTCAAGCGAAAGCCAGTCTGTAGGATCTGGTTGTCTCCACACCCAGCCCTAATCTGTCCCCCCAGAGAAGCATGTGAGTGCAACCTGCACCCTTAAAAGGGGCTCCTTCTTCCATCAATATTGACCAAAATGCTCATTTATATACGAAACGTCTCTCCTCTACTTTCTCCTCCAAACAGCCAGTTGTTAACATAGTTGTGATGGCCTGGGATTCGGACTCAGATGCTGAACCTGAGGGATCCCAGCCTGCACAGGATTCCCCGCCTCCAGAACCAGCTGAGCCGGGGCTGGGGCATGAGCCTGAAGGGTCCTCACCTGTGCTGGATCCTCAGGTGCAGACACCAGCTGAGTCTGCTCTGGCTCCTGAGGTGAGGGAGGACCCATTGCCTGCAGGTGCTCCACTCTCAGCCCCATCAGGGGAAGCTGGGGTTGCCTCTGGGTCCGGTAACCCTCCAGCCTCTCCTGAGCTGCAGAGGCTCAGGGCAGAGAGGCGGAGGGAACTAAGTTCCCGCAGGAGGAGTGCTCGCCTCCAGGCCAGGAGAGGCGAGTCACCAGAGGATCGGGGCTGCCCTATGCCTCGGGGCAGATAAAAGCTGGCCTGCCCCAGTCCCAAGTTGCAGGAGCAACATTGTTGGTTGCTAGTTGCTGCCTGAACCCTGTCCTGCTTTCCTGCCGGAGTTCCTGACCCGCTCTGGCTCCCTCTTGCAAGCCTGTTCCTGACTTCACCCGACTCCCTGCCCTGCACCCAGCTTCAGCTACTACAGACTGCCTCCTCGTTGCACCTTTGACCATGGACCAGACTTGGACCTTGCCTCTCAGGTAACCCACAGGACCAGCACAGTAGTGCAAGGGAGAGAGGTTCAAAGGCTTGTGCGCAAACATTTTGTGACACTTCAGCCGTCTAAATCCAGCAATATTCCCTGCATTTCTAACAAGACCAGCAGAAGGTAGAAATGAATTCCAAATTCATTGTCAGATCCAGCAGGGAACCCTGTGAAGGAAGTTTCTCAGCAAACAAACAAGAAAAGAATCAAAAGTTCAGCTCTCCTGGGTTTGGGAGGATGAAGAGGGGTTATGAGTTTTTTTTTTTTAATAAAAAAAAAGACCCAATGCAAAAAAAAGGGCCTTCTCTTTTTAATTTTCCTTGACTAGTCTCTAAGATGCATGTGTCATACTAAGGGAGAAGAGCAATCTTTAATAACGGGATTTCTATAGAGAGCTGTTCTTTGGTCTAGTTGCCGGCAGCCTCCCAGGGAGAGAAAATACGGAGGAAATTAAGACTGACCTCACACTGTTTGCGCGGAATGAGCAAAGGCTGTTGGCTGCTGTGGCTTCACTTGTCTGCGTGGCGCTTCCTCTCCCAAGGAGTTCGGCCGAGTCAATGGCGTCAAAAGGAATTTTTGAAAGGGGGACAGGAAAGGAAAGGTACGTCTCCCATGTGCTGCCCTTGGAGAACATTCTGAAAAGTGGATCTGGAGGGGGGGTATTTATTTTAAATATTTATATACCACTTCATACAGTCCCTAAGTGGTCTACAAAATATCAAGGCGTGTTTGTGTGAAGGAATATCATGCAATGCAGTATACAATGAAATAAAGCAATAGAACCACAATGATATATTATTACAGTGGTACCTTGGGTTAAGTACTTGATTCGTTCCGGAGGTCCGTTCTTAACCTGAAACTGTTCTTAACCTGAAGCACCACTTTAGCTAATGGGGCCTCCTGCTGCCGCCGCGCCGCCGGAGCACAGTTTCTGTTCTTATCCTGAAGCAAAGTTCTTAACCTGAAGCACTATTTCTGGCTTAGTGGAGTGTGTAACCTGAAGCGTATGTAACCCGAGGTACCACTGTATTACTATTTTACTATTACTATTACTACTAACCCACCCACTACCTAAGGTCCCAGGTTAATTGCAACAATCAAAATGCCATATTAAAGCAGTTTAAAACAACTTACAATCAGACGAAGAAGGTGGGTCCTAAAACTACATGTCAAGTCTCAGAAGCCAAGGTAAAGAGGTCTATCTGCAGCATTCACCAAAAGCAGTATACAGCAGGTACACTTCTGTGAGGAGTAAGTCCCACAAGTTAGGGGCTTCTTCACTCATGTGTGGAGAGAGGGAGGTGGAGCTGAAGATGAGGATGAAGAGGAAGTGCACTGAACAATCCAGTTCTTCCACCTTCTCTTCTGCCAATACCAAACTCAGTTGGTGAGTGCTGACAAGATTGTAGCCCAAACAGGGACACAGGACTCAGCTATACAGCTGCAAATAAAACGTTTTAAATGTGTTGTAAAGTGCAATATACAAATGTGGCACTATATGGCGACAGTGGGCTATGGCAAATTCAAAAAGCATTTTCACAGCATTTTTTTATATGTGTGTAGATGCCACCCGATTGTCAAGAGGGAGATTTCAGCATGCCTGGGGAAGCCTAGAGTTTACGGAATTATTTTTAAAATGTAGAAAAAACTAAGGGGGCAGAAAATCATCAAAAAAGCATTCAGGGCTGCACATGCTTAGTAGCTGCAGAATGCTGACTCTGGTGGAAAACAAAACAAAACAGGGGAAAGGAGTAAAATATTCTGCTTGAGCTCTTTATAGTACCCTGGCAGAGGGTATCATGACCCTGATCAGGACAAGTTCTGCAAGGAAGCAAGTATGGGCTGCCACATTTTGTTGCAGGTCGCCTTGATCTGATCGTATTGAGGAACTGCGTGTTTTTAATAAAGCTAGGCTCTGTTTAATTTAGTGTTGCATCACCTCAAGTCCACCGCCATTAGCTTTCCCACTTTTGGAGGGAAAAGGCAGTTTGGTCAACCTGCACACACTCTTGAACTGTTTTTAGAAAGTAGCACTTGAACCAAAGGCAGCAAACAATGCTGTTTAGGATGATTCCAATTTAAAATGGATATTTTACCCATCTTGCATGCTAACATACATACGGACTTGCTAAATACGATTGATACCAGTGACTGTTATGATAAGATAAAGGATTAAAATCAGCATTATGATATTGGGAATAATCAAGAGAGAATAAGCAGGAACAAGAAACAAACAATTTTCTCCTGAGCAGCCAAAACATGGGAAGCCCCTTTAAATTATATAATTCAGAAGGTATAATTGGCTTTATTATTTGTGTTATGATGTGGCAAGATTTGATGTGTTATTAATTGGAGTGTTATTAATGAAAACTTAATTAAAATTTATTTAAAAAATAAAAAAAATGATATTTTAAACCTATGATTAATAAATTAGCCCATTAAGTAGGGAATGCTTTCAGACCTATTTATTTTTCTTGTATGTTTTGTTCTGTTACTTATTTCTCACATCTTTAACCTTACAGTGCAATCTTTCTACTCAGTAAAAAAGGTCAGCGGAGCATTATCTGATGGTAAATTGGTATAAGATTGCCTAGCTGAGCCGGTAGAGCATGAGACTCTTAATCTCAGCATTGTGGGTTTGAGCCGCACGTTGGGCAAACAGATCCCTGCATTGCAGGTGATTTGACTAGATGGCCAGCTCTTTGATTCTGTTATTCTATCTATTCAAGAATAATAACCAGCCTTGGACATGGTAAAGATGTGCTCTGCCACAGATCGAGGGCTCTGATTTCAAAACAGTTGGCAACCCTATCTCTCATATATATATATATCCCTATATATATATAAAACAGTTGACATTCCTGTTCTCATGCCACTGCTGATCTCCTTTCCATTTTAACTCACAACTCGTCTTAGGCTGGCCACGAAAAAAATCAGCTTGACTGCAGTAATTAAAGGGAGAAAACACAACAAACCCAATGTAAAGATATCAACAAAGGCTGCATATTCTCGTTTTAATTGGTGCCCATAGATCCTTCCAGACCCCCCTATTAACACTAAGCTGGTGTGTGATTTCATTAAATGAATAGCTGACTTGCACAGTAATTACAACCTTTCCCTTTTTCTTTCCTTTTTTTATAAAAAAAATCAGTTTACCACCTCTCAAAGATGATAGGTTTGTAACCTCTCCCCCACTCAGCCTTTCATGATTGCACATTTCCAATCAAAAGCTCCCACAGAGTCAGAAAAACAATAGTTTTATGTTATTATATTCCTAATCATGGGTAATTTGGTACAGAATTAGTAGCTGTGCCTGTCAATTCAAGCTTTATGTCACTAGGACGATCTCCTCCAATCTGGGTGGCAATCACAAATGCCTTCACCTGTGCACTTATCCACTGAGGAACCACAGCCCAGGAATTTGGTTGTGAAATTTCTAATGATCTTTGCTTATGGGAGAGAATTGAACTATGCTCTCTGGGGGGTACAACAATTAGACAGTATTGTCAATCCCCGAGATTACTGTGATGTTGTGGTAGGTGGTTGTACTTTGGCCAGACTCCTGAGAGTCAAAGAGCACCCCTGTGGAGCATTTGCAGTGCTGCAACTAACCCTGTATTCTGCCTCTGACTGTGGCTAGTGAAACAGAAATTCCCAAGCAAGCATTGTGTAGCGCTAGCTTGCTCACAATGCTGATAGCACCACGTTGAATGCCACACCACCCTCTCTCAAGCAAGCTCCCCTGCCCCTTGTTCCTGCGAGATAAAAACCATGCAAGTGAATAATAGCCAAGCATCACTAATAACTGATAAAACCACCACACGCGAGAGGAAATGCCTTTACAAAGCCTATGTCACTGATAATAACACTGACTCAAGTCAAACAGCATGCCAAGTCATAGGTAAGGAAGCTCATCTATAGTTTGGTCGGTGTCCAAATGAGAAGCCCCGGCTTTCCCCCAAAGACTGAAAACTGCACATTGGTGAGATAGCTAAGCAAGGTGTTTCATTTAATGGAGTAGTCTTGGAAAAAATCTGTGCAGTTACCAGTTCTGTGGCAAGCATAAATTCACTGCTAGGCTGTCTTTTAATGTGGACTGTGTCATTTCTGAATCTAGTTAACAGAGTACAGAAAGCGGGGGGGGGGAGACCTATTTGAAAGTGGAATGCTCATCCTAGACAACATAGCGAATTAATTCTATTTCCAGATGCAGGAAATAAAATAATGATTATTTAACCATCACTTAAGCATCAACAGAAGCAGATGCTGGAATCTTTATTCACATATTTTAAAAGTCAGATATAGCAATAGGAAGTTCAGTGTGAAAGTTAAACCGACAGCGATTTCTGCCTGGACGAACTCCTCAGTTCACTGCAAGAGTTT